CTCGGCACCCTGGCCTTTCCCTCCCTGGCAGCGGCGCGGGCTCGAGCACCGAAGAACGGCGAGGGCCAGGCCGCGACGGTCCTCCAACGCGTTCGCCCGGCAACGGGTGGAGGCCCGGCCTGGCCCTGGCGACTGGCGGCTTCCCTGTTTCTTTGCGCCCCTGAGTCGAAACCTTGCCCCTGGCGACGCCGGCGCCGCTCGCGGGCCTGGCGCGCGGCAAACGACGACTACCCCGCCTCGGGAGGCGAGGCCCGCCGCGCGCCAAGGCCCGAACCCTTGGACCCCGACGCGGGACAGCAGTTGTATAGAACCAAGACCAGCTGCATCCAGTGTAGTCCCCCCGGGAAGACCCCTGGCTAGACGATGAGGCGGCTCCAAGCCACCCTGGATGCGATGTTCACAGGCGCCCGGCACGCGTTCGCCAGAAGGCACGGCAAGGGCGCACTCGACCCGCGACGGCACGACCAGCAAACCTGCGTCAGCTTCCCGCGCTTCTTCCGCAACCGCAACTCCGACGCGGGGGCCATGGGCGACGCGCTGAACCTCGGCGTCAACTGGGTCCAGTTGCAGCAGCGATTCCCGAGCTGCAGAGATGGCGCGGGCAAGGGGCGCCAGGTACCCCCCTGCAGCGAGGCGCGGGGAACGGACCAGAAGAGACAGCCGTCAGCCACAGCGCAGCAGCGACAACGGGTCCTGTCGCCCACCCCCCCCGACCGACCGACGGCGCGGCGTGAGGGCAGCCTGCAATCCGCAGTGGCGCTATTATCGCTATCCGTAAAAAGAGGGCCCGTTCGGCCAAAGGTCTCGGTGCCTCACTCTCACAGCTCGCCGTGGTCTTCCGCTACCCTGGTTTCGACCTCCGACTATTGTTTGTCTTTGGGCTCCGGCCAGGACCTCCGGTGACGTTCCCCGCTTGTTTCACCCTGGACGCGACTCGCGCAGCATTCGCCGTGGCCGACGTCCGATCTGCAGGCAGTTCCCCTTCCCTGAGGCCACTCCCTGCCCAGCCCCCGTCGTTCCAGCCCCCGGACATGGGCTGCGGGCTGCTGACCGGGCGACTCGTGGGCCTCCGCTGGGGCCGTGGTCCACCTGTCCCCCACTTTGTTTCGCCCTAGACGTGTCCGCGTTCCCAGCTGTGGCCGCCGACCGACTTGTAGGCGGGACTCCTACCCTGGTGCCCCGCCCTGCCCTGCCCCTCTGCCCCCCGTCCTTGGGAACTTGTGCCGCACTTCCCCTCCTCTCCCGTCCGACGCTCGGACCTGCCCCTGCGCACTTGGCCAGGCGCCGACCTGTCCCCAACCGTGCCCCCCCCCCCACTCCCAGCCCGCCGCCGACCTGACGCCCTTGTGGACATCTCTCACCCTCCCTGGCTCGACTTCCGACCTGTGGCTGTTAGGGGCTCGGCGAAGGCCTCCGACACCATTCCCAGCTCGCCCCAGCACGCCCGACCCGGCGCCAACCTGACGCCCCAGTGGACAGCCGGCCGCCACCTTCTCCTGCCGGCGTGCTGGCCTCACGCCCAAGGGGTTCGCCGGGGCCTCCCGACACTCCAGGTAAAATAGGGCCCGTTAGGCCATGTCTGAACGTGGGTCGCTAGAATCGCTGTCTGTCAAATGGGGCCCGTACGGCCACTTGGTTCCGCGTATTGAAAACATCAGGGCGTCGCATGTCTGTGGGGGGGGTCTTTTTGGACAGGCTCAGGGGGCAAGGTTTCCGGACGCTTTCGGCTCAGAGTGGGAGGTTTTCGGGTGTTTTCGCTGGCTCTCGGCGCTTTTTTCGCCTTGGGATGCTCTCCAGCAGCTGCGCCTCGCCGAGGGCGATCCCGGGGTGTCTGGGGTCGTCCCGAACGGCCGCCAGAAGCCCGAACGATGGCCCGAAAACCACCAGGAGCAACGTCGCTGTCACGTTCTGCACCGCGGCAAGCAACCTAATGTGTCGCGACGGTGCCCAGTGTTCCACGTGCTCCAGCCGCGCCAGGTTCGCCAGCCACTGGGAACCAATAGGGGCTCTTGTGTCCGTCTTTGAGCATTCTTGGCTAATTAATTTGGAGCCATGTGGAGGTTCGAAATCCCATCGGAAACGGTAAGGCAAACAGACGACAGCCTTTGCTGTGTCAAACCAGTCTGTGGACCACCTGCGGCCAGAAGGCAGGTGGGATCTGCTGGCATCCCAGCCGTCCTTGTAAAATACCAAGACAAAATGGTCGCGGGGCGGCCGCGCATGCTCCAAATGTGGAAGCAGAGTGCGTTTTGTATTGTCGTTCCCGACCATCCTGTGGTATTGGGTCCTCGTTTTGAAGAGACGGTCGCCGTGTTCTCCTCCTTCCTCTCCCTCCCCCTCCTCCCTCTTCCCTGCGTTTCACCCACCCAGTGCAGCGTTTTGTTGCCCACTAAGGAGCTCCACCGAAAGTCCCAGTGCCACCGCACGCATGCGTCCAGTACAGCGTTTTGTGGCCCCAGCGCTCCACCGAAGGTCCCAGCGCTACAGCCCGCATGCGTCCCCCAAACCCAGTACAGCGTTTCGTGGCCCCATAGGGAGCTCCACCGAGGGTCCCAGTGCTACCGCCCGCAGGGTTCCCCCCTCACCCAGTACAGCGCTTCGTGGCCTCATAGGGAGCTCCACCGAAGGCCACAGTGCTACCGCCTTCATGCGCCCCCCCCACCCAGTACAGCGTTTCGTGGCCCTATAGGGAGCTCCACCGAAGGTCCCACTGCTACCGCCCGCATGGTCCCCCCCCACCCAGTACAGCGTTTCATGGCCCCATAGGGAGCTCCACCGAAGGTCCCAGTGCTACTGCCCGCATGCGTCCCCCCACACAGTACAGCGTTTCATGCCCCCATAGGGAGCTCCACCGAAGGTCCCAGTGCTACTGCCCGCATGCGTCCCCCCACGCGGTACAGCGTTTCGTGGCCCCATGGGGAGCTCCACTGACGCCCCCAGCACTACCGCCGCCAGCGTCCCCCGCACCAAGTACAGCGTTTCGTGGCCCTAGAGGGATCTCCACCGACGGCTCCAAAGCTACCGCCCGCATGCGTCCCCCCACCCACTACAGCGTTTCGTGGCCCTAGAGGGAGCTCCACCGACGGACCCAGTGCTACCGCCCGCATGCGTCTCCCCACCCAGTACAGCGTTTCGTGGCCCCATGAGGAGCTCCACCGACGGCCCCAGTGCTACCGCCCGCATGCGTCTCCCCGACCCAGTACAGCGTCTCGTGGCCCCATAGGGAGCTCCACCGAAGGTCCCAGTGCTACCGCCAGCATGCGTCTCCCCCACCCAGTACAGCGTTTCGTGGGCCAATAGGGGGCTCCACCGAAGGTCCCAGCCCCCACCCAGTACAACGTTTCGTGGCCCGAAAGGAAGCTCCACCGAGGGTCCCAGTGCTACCGCCCGCAGGCGTCCCCCCCCAGCCAGTACAGCGCTTCGTGGCTCCATAAGGAGCTCCACCGACGGGCCCAGTGCTACCGCCCGCATGCGTCCCCCCACCCAGTACAGCGTTTCGTGGCCCCATGGGGAGCTCCACAGACGTCCCCAGTGCTACCGGCTGCATGCGTTCCCCCCCCACCCAGTGCAGTGCTTCGTAGCCCGAAAGGGAGCTCCACCGAATAAGATATTTACAAATGCGGTACTCACAACTGGCTGCATATGGTTGGGTCCTTCGCCAGGATGAACTGACAGGGATGGTGGGGTGTGGCCTTCCTGGGGTCGTCATGGTTCCGGGTTGGCCGCCGGCCGGGGGTGTATGTCAATAGGGAACAGTCATCAAAACACCCTCCTGGATAACAAGCCGTCAAGCTCACTCCCGCCCGCCCTCCCAACATATTAGTAGCACCCGAGCCTCTGCATGTTCAGCGGTCTTCTTTGGACGGGCAGCTACTGGGAGCCAAAACCGAGCCCATGTGCGCGACGCTGGGGCGAGGTGCGCCACGCGTGCCAGGCGCGCCACGCGCGCCAGACACCCCTGGGGCCCGAGCGTGCCAGGCGCACCTGGTGAGCCAGATGCGCCACGTGCCTCCGCGTGCGCCAGGTGTGCCGCTTACTCTAGCCGCGCCAGGTGCGCCACGTTCGGGGCACGTGCACAGTGTATCAGGTGCGCCTGCGCACGTGACAGCACACATTTGGAAACATGTCAGCCCTCACCATCCATGTCGAAGCCAGTGTCGATCATTGTGTCTGGTGGGCCTGCGCACAGCAGGCCGTACGCCACTGTTTGACAGTTATCGCGGGGTGGCCGCACATGATCCATATTTGCCCGCGAAGTACACTGTGTATTGCTTTTTGTCAGGGATGGTAGCCCTGCGCGCAGCAGGCAATAAGCTGACTCCCCCGCCGTCCCTGTCAAAACACAGACAAATTGTTCTTGGGGCTCACGAACATGACTCTGGACTTTGCCCCATAGTGTACTTTGTATGGTTTTGTCGACAGGGATGGTGGGGGTGGCCCTCATGGTGTTATCATTGTTCCTGGTTGGCTACCGGTCGCCTGGGGGAGGGGGTGTATATGAATAGAGAACAGTGATCAGTCCCTCCCCGAAGGGAAGGAAGGGGGTTGGAAGAGGAGCCTTCCTAGACCATCTACGCCCAGAGGGCTGGTGGGATTCATTCCCAGCGCGCCCGTCGCAAGAATTCTTGCCTCCCAAATATTTTTCTTCCCTTGCTGTTTTGATTGGCTTTCCATTTGGTTGCTGCACCGTCCCCAAGAAACGGCGCGGGATGAGTACCTGGTCTCGGGAAGGGTCGACGGTGTGAGTAAATCGTGATGTTGTGATCAAAACTGGTCTTGGGACAGGGGGATAGGGGGGGAGAAGAAGAGATGTTGGAGGATTGAGGACTCAGATTGTTGAGTGATTTTTGTTTTTGTTGGCTGCTACAGGCTTCCAGGGGCCTCCATGGACTTCGGGGGCCCCTGGAGACCTCCGACGGAAGGGAGGAGGGGGAGTCGGAAGGGGAAGTGACGGAGGGGAAGGCCCATCTCCTCTCCTGCTCCCCGCCCCTCCATGGGCAGGACCCATCGATGTGGACCCGTCCTACAACCAAGAGCCGCGCGTGTCGCTGAGGCGGCTCGGCGATCTCAAGTGGGACATCATAGTGAAGAACCTGCACGATGAGGGGCGGGGTCCTCCTCTCGAGTGCGGTCCGGTCCGGCAAGTTCGCACCGCCTCGGGGCAGCGGCGGCGCGGGGCCTCCGGTGGGGCCCGTGTCGGACCCCCAGAACCCGCAGGCAAGAGCGCGGCGCTCAGTACATACGACAGACGGGGTCGACAGCCTCTGGGGGCCCCTGCGAGCGGAGGTCGCTCCAGGCTGAGTGGTCCATATCGCCCGCGTCGTAGCGATTGAAATCGGCCGTCCAGGAGGAGGCTGAATGAAGACTGAGTGCATTCACGATGAGGATCAGACTGAGCTGTCAAACGTCGCAAGAGTCCATACGCACTTCTTTACAATCGAACAGGTTTTTAGCTTGACTGCTCCCTTTTTGCAATTGCCGTGCGTCCGGAACCATGCGATGTCATTCAAGGTTTTAGACCCATCTTGATGAGTGCAATCGTGCTTGGCAAGCTCATGATAAGCCAGCTGAATGAGTGATTGGGCTGCTTCCAACCGACGGGATGCGGAGGAGAGCATGGGTATGCAATGATTGACGGCTGCGTGGGAGGCAGACGACCTGGTCATACAGAGCCCGTCAGGCACCAAGGTAGCGTTCACTCAGTTCGACAACGCCTTCTTCAATACCACCCTTTCGGTGATGAAAGAAGTCAAGCTGGGGTCGACTCTGTCAGTGGAAGACGTGACCCTTTTGGGGAGCCGAGGGAGGGTCAATGGTGGGATGGAGCTGTGTGGGGGCCTTGTGCAGGTGACTTGCTGCGCGTCGACCCGTGTGTGTGTGTGTGTGTGTGTGTGTGTGTGTGTGTGTGTGGGTGTGCGTGCGTGCGTGCGTGCGTGCGTGCGTGCGTGCGTGTGCGTGTGCTCTCTTCCCTCCATCCTCGCACTCTGACCGACGGCATTCCCGGGCTCCTCGCTGACTGCCTCAGATGCGTCGCTGCACGCGTTGCCGCAACGACGAGAAGTGTGTGCGTGGGTTCTGGACGGGAAATTGTTGGGATGCTTTTCGGCCTCTTTTGAGATGGATGTCGTCACGGCTCTAATTGGAAGCTCTGATTGGGGATGGGGTCAGTGATGCTGACTACCATGGTAGTCGCTGCTACGGGGCAATTCGTGTGCAGATGTTTTTGCGCCGATCATGAGATGGCCCCATGATCAGTGGAACGCTACACAGCGGAGAGGGACAGAGAGAGAGAGAGAGCGGATGTTTTGGTGGATGTCTTGCAGTCCTGCGGACAACAGAGTCAGGAAGACAGCAAGCGCTTTCATGTCTTTCTATCTCCGAAGCCAGATGATCGAAGTCGCCCATTGCAAATCGCCCCCATCACTCCCTCCTCCCACAATTCTCACATCTTCCTTCGTCCTCGATGTCCTCGCCGCCCGCTCCCCCCTGAGAACAGACAGCGACAACGCTAAAAGCTAAATGCATGAAACACTTCAGAAGATGGACTTGCAACACCTTGTCCTCCGATATTGGAATCTTTTCATCCAAGGATCTCGACCGCTTCCCTGGGACCAGCTTCTCTTCCTCAGTCGCCTTTGGACGGTCCAGGGACCACGGGACGGACGCCAGAGGCTGAACATTGCGTGAAACTTGCAGTCGCGTTGTTTTTGTTGTTTGTTGTTCGTTCCCCGAACAGTCCAAACAGAGCTTGCATCTAGTAGGGGCTCTTGCTTGCCTTATTGAGGACTCTGATGGGTCCGCCGAGGTTTCGCCACCTTGCCGCCCGTGGGCGCGCCGCTGCCGCCCGCCGCTCCTGGAGGTTGCGCCGAGGTTCCACCACGTTGCCGCCCGTGGGCGCCTCGTTGCCGCCCACCGAGCTTGCGGGGTCCTCCGAGGTTTCGTCACCCTGCCGCCCGTGGGCGCCCCGTTGCCGCCCACCTGGGGGTCTGCCGAGGTTCCGCCACGTTGCTGCCCGTGGGCGTATCGTTGTCTCCCCCGGCGCTTGCGGTGTTCGCCGAGGTTTCGCTACCTTGCCGCCCGTGGGCGCCTCGTTGCCGTCCACTGCGCATGGGGGACACCACCACGTAGTTCTTGTCAAGAGAAGATCGAGCCTGGACTCATCGGGCTCCCTGGAACACTGCAGCTTCCGTAAGCTGCTGTCCCATCGTTGTTTCTTGGTGTGCAATCAGACCCAACCCATCCCCGTCACATAGTACCATTCGTCCACTCTCGTTCATCTCAACGCATCATTTTTCACACATTCCTTGCAACCACTGGCACACCTTACACACGCCTGCGCGCGCACACGTCGAAGTCATACCAAACACATGAAATTCGCAGGTATATCAACGTACCATCATCACGCATCAGTGCGTCTGTCACCACACGTCTTGCAGCGCTGATTCGTGGAACGCATGGGGGAACCAGCTGATTTCAATTAAGTCGGGCACATCCCTCTACAGGAGGAATATTCAAAAGTAGTAAACAATACTCTGGGGACATTTTTTTGATTCTTTGTTAGCTTTATTCGATGATTACTTGGCTGAGCTCCGCTCGCCTTCATTTTGCACTTGATTACTTGGCTCGGGCCCTGTGATTACTTGGCTCGGGCCCTGTGATTCGGTGGCTCTGGCTCCAGTTGCCGACGCACTGCATAGTTTCATGTTGGATTTATGTGCTGTGGCTGGGCAGGCCACCAGGGTTCATAACCCAACGTCTTAACGTCTTAGTCCAGGGGCGGGCGCACTACAGTACTTTTTGTGGCTTCCTTCCCCTTCCCTTCCTCCTCCTCCTCCTCCCCCTCCTCCTCCTCCTCCTCCTCCTCCTCCTCCTCCTCCTCCTCCTCCTCCTCCTCCCCCTCTTTCGCCTTCCCTTCTCTGGTAGTGTTGGATTCGAGTACTGGCCGCTTAGTGCCGCCAGGGGTTTGAACCGCAACACCATTTGCCGCTGTCGCTCGCATGGGTTGCCGTCTCCTCTTTCTCCTCCTCCTCCTCCTCCTCTTGTGCTGCTGGCTGCACGGAGGGACTCCAGTGCATCGATTCCGTTGCACGCAGGTCGATGTTGGCAAAGCGAGCGAACCTTCAGGCGATTTCGTAGCGTGGAAAAAACATTGGATTCTTTGTTGACTATGTTGGGATCCTTTTCGAGCATTCTCTTATTTTTCCTCACAAATCCGCCTGTAGGAGGACATGCCCGACCTAAGACTTCAACAAACTCGTCCAGCATCCGTTGCCTCGTAGGATGTTCTGTGGGAAGGCGACGGACGCCGCGCGGGGGCCTCTTGGGGACCGTCTCTGGGCCTCTTGTCGCTGACCATCCTGGGCCGTCCTTGGCGCCCCTGGGGCCGCCTTGGAACGCTGCGTGGGTCTCTGTTTGTCCTTTTCCTTTCAGCCTCCTCGTCCTCCTCCTCTGCCTCCTCCTCCTCCTCCTCCTCCGCCGCCTCCTCCTCTTCCTCCTCCTCCGCCTCCTCCTCCTCCTCCTCCTCCTCCTCCTCCTCCTCCTCCTCCTCCTCCTCCCCCTCCTCCTGTGGTGGCCCCGCGCCGATCCAGCATGCGCACAGTGCCCCGCGCCACATCGCAGAAAAAAACACGTGCGCGAGCCAGGCGCAGGCACGCGCCGCCGGCGCGCGCGCGCGTCGGGATCCGTCCAAAACACCATCGGCTCTCGGAGCGCTTCGAGCTGCAGCCCTTCAGGCACAAACGCGCCAATGGCGTGCAAACACCAATCACACGCACAAGCACAACATGCATACGGCAGGTTCGCGTCGTGTCGACCGGCGGCGACCCCGCCGACGGCGTTCAAGGTTGAACGCCGGTGGCGACCCAGAATCGGTCGATGTCGAACGATTGGTCGTTGCGGGGACGGCCGATCGTTCAAGCTGGAGCGATCCACGCCGTGTCAGAAACCAACGCCAGCGTCGTCACGACGCGGACCTGCCGTACACGTCAAGCACAACACAACATACACTTCAGAATGACTCAACATATGAAGCAACCGATCGTGTTTCAACAGGAAGCCTGCCAGGCTTCTCGCACTTCCGCGCGCACACTTCCTCAGCATCGCCGCCGCCGTTACTGTCATCTTCAATCGCTGCCATTGCCGCCATCATCAGTCAATCACCTTCACCACCAACTCATGGACGTCATCATCATCGTCATCGTCGTCACCAGCATCGGCGCTGTCATTGGTCCTGCTGTCGTCATCGTCATCACCACCATCACCATCGCTACTATCATCATCGTTGCTGCCGATGTCGACGACATCATGATACTGCGCCCGCCCGAGTCACTGACCCGCACTGTAGTGCCTGCGCGCCAGCGGTGCCTTTGAAACGCCCTGGAAAGTTCCCGTCAGTAAGCGCCATGGCGGCCGCATCGGTTGAGCCAAGCCAGCTGGCCGCTCTGCGCGCGAGCTTGTGCGCGCTAGCGTGCACGCAGAGAAGGGCCAGCCAGGGCCAAGTAGTCACCGCAATCGCGGCCGCATGGTTTGTGCAACGCAAGTTGCGGGTGGGAGGGTCGAGTGATTGCGAGCGCGAGTAATGGAGCTGACTGCTCATGAGTTCGCAAAGGAATACTTACACCGCGTAGCTTCCACCTCTGTAGCTCACACCACATATATATAGATATATGTATATTCACATTACATATATACATATATGTATGTATACACATTACGCGACGTAACTTGCACCACCTTGCACCTCATCGCTTATACTTCCAAGGTGCAATATCTCATTCTGTGGGGTCCACGCTGGCTAGCGTTTTGCTATGTAGCAATCTTGAAATGATTCGAGGGAACCAGAACACGACGAGCAGAGGGCGGCCCGCGCGCCGCCTCTGGGGTCCCAGAGTGCTGCTTTCAGCGGTCGCTCGCAGCGATACGAGTCATATGATGATCGGGTCGTGGGGAGGGCCCAGTTTGGAGCTGGTTTTGGGGCTGAGGTGGTCCAGCATTGGCCTGGAACAGCACAGAGGGATCTGGGCCACCTTCGTCGCCACGGCTGGGCGCGGCTCGGAAAGTGGCCAGTAGCGACTTCGGGAGGTGTCTGGGGACTGCATTTGAGTGGTTTGGCCATTCTTCCCCCCCCCTTTTGACATATTCTCGCAGGGCTTATCCGGCTCAGACCCCCCGACCATCTCGAAGGCCCATTGAAGTTCAGGTTCGTAAGAGACCGCACGGGCGCGAAAGAGAGAGACAGAGAGAGAGGAGCGCGCCAAGGCAGCGGCCGCAGGTCTGCCGAGCTCTGTGGTGTCAAAGGCTGCTGGGCGGTTGTGATGCGTGGCCCGCCTTGCGTCAGTGCTCCTTTGGCGTGTGCTACGCTGGACAGCGTGCATGAATAGCCGCAGCCAACTAGGGCCTCCCGCCATGCGATGGGCCAGCGAATCACCATATCGTCCTCAATTTTTGTCGCCATGTGGACGTAGGTGAGCCGAAGGCCAGTCAGACAGGCCTTCGAGTACGCCAGTGTCTAGGGCAAGGTCCCCAGTCGGCAGTGCCAATGCAGCCTCGGTGGAGCATCATGTCTCGGTCAAGGGGGCAACCAAGGAGACACATTGAAGCAATAGGTGCAAGATGCGAAACAAGTACGGAGGTCGCTGAGGCCAGTTTGACACGCTCCCTCCCCCATGCAGTAACTGGGGTGCCTCCCAAGCTTTTTCTCTGCGTCCTCTTCCGCGTCATCCTCGTGTCGCTCCTCCGTCTTCCCATCCCCACTGGCTGCTTCTGCGGATTCTCCTGAACGTTTGCCTTACGACGGACTGGGTCGGCAGGAACAAATTGTCCGTGTCAGAGGAGACCACCTTGGGGAACATGCTATCTGTCAGCAACGAGGCCGCTGTCATTTGCTGCTCCCCCGCGCCTATGTCGGATTATGTATATGACGGGAGACCGGGCCCGGGGCCCCAAGGCCGGGACCTCTACCACAAATGTGTGTGTGTGTGTGTGTGTGTGTGTGTGTGTGTGTGTGTGCCAGGCGCCGGGGGCGCGCCTTTTGGGGGGCCCGAACTCGCCTCCGAGAGGGGTCGGGCAGCCATCCAGGCGGCCGAGGACTGCTTCGAGTCACCCTCATGACGACCTCCAGGGGTCTTGGACAGTTCGCGAAGCGTTCCAAACGGCCCAAGAGGCCTCCATGGCGGCTCCGGGGCGGTCCCAGAGGACTCCCAAGAGCGCCCCGAGAAGCAAACATCGGGCCATTCCCTTCGGGAAAACGTGTATTTTGACCCTGTTCTTGCTTCGTCCTCAATGCTGCCAACACAACCCACGAGGATTCCTCAATCGCCCCCGTATGGGCGACGAGTCTCCCCAGAAGGCCCTAGGACGGCCCCAAGACGGCCCCAAGAGGACCCCAAGATGGCTTCAAGAGGGGTCCAAGAAGGCCCCAAGAGGGGTCAAAGAGCGGGAACGCCAGCCGAAAATCTTAGCCTTCCGGTCCAAGAGGCGCCCAGGAGGCCCCAAGAGGCTCCCAAGAGGCACCACGAGGTCTGCAAGAGGTCCTCAATAGCCACCAGAGGCCCCCAACAAGCTCAAAAGATGCCTCCAATAGGTTCCATCATGGCCCCCAAGAGGCTTTCAAACTGCCTCCCCGAGGCCCCCGAGCAGCACCCCATGAGATGACAACGAGCATGCAAGAGGCCTCTGACCCACAACCCAGGCACGGCGGCGGGATGGGCCGAAGGCCACTGGACGGTCCGAAGATGGCCATGGCCCTAGAGGGCTTCAAGATGAGCCCAAGAGGGGAAGAGGAGGAAGAGGAGGAGGAGGGGGAGGAGGAGAAGGAGGAGGACGATGATGATGATGATGATGATGATGATGATGATGGTGGTGATGATGATGACGATGATGATGCTGATTCTGATTATGATGATGCTGCTGCTGATGATGATGCTGATGCTGATGATGCTGATGATGACGATGACGATGATGATGATGATGATGATGATGATGATGATGATGGTGATGCTGATGATGCTAATGATGCTGATGATGATGCTGCTGCTGCTGATGATGATGATGATGATGATGCTGATTCTGATTCTGATAATGCTGCTGCTGATGATGACGATGGTGATGGTGATGGTGATGGTGATGGTGATGGTGATGGTGATGGTGATGGTGATGGTGATGGTGATGATGATGATGATGATGATGATGATGATGATGATGATGAGATGATGATGATGATGATGATGATGATGATAATGATGATGATGATGATGATGATGATGATGCTGATGATGATGATGATGATGATGATGATGATGATGATGATGATGATGATGATGATGAGATGAGGATGAGGATGAGGATGAGGATGCTGAGGATGAGGATGAGGATGAGGATGAGGATGATGATGATGATGATGATGATGATGATGATGATGATGATGAGATGATGGATGATGATGATGATGATGATGATGATGAATGATGATGATGATGATGATTGATGATGATGATGATGATGATGATGATGATGATGATGATGATGATGATGATGATGATGATGATGATGATGATGATGATGATGATGATGATGATGATGATGATGATGATGATGATGATGATGATGATGATGATGATGATGATGATGATGATGATGATGATGAGATGATGATGATGATGATGATGATGATGATGCTGATGATGATGATGCTGATGATGATGATGATGATGATGATGATGATGATGATGATGATGATGATGATGATGATGATGATGATGATGATGATGATGATGATGATGATGATGATGATGATGATGATGATGATGATGATGATGATGATGATGATGATGATGATGATGATGATGATGATGATGATGATGATGATCCCCCTCCTGCGGACGACGCGCTCCTCGCACAGCCGCCGCAAGCCGCCCAAGGCCCGCCACCCCTCCGGGCGCGGCTGCCCTGGCCAGCGCACGTCACGAGCGGGAGCGGACCTCACCGCTCGCAGCCCTCACCGCGCCGGCCTCGCCTCCCGCTCAGCGTCGTGAGCGGCTGCGCTGGCGCCCGCGCAGCGCCTCGGGCTCCCCGAGCCAGCCCGTCTGCGTCGGGTGCAGCCCGCGCCGCAGGCGGCGGAGGGCGTCCGCCTGCCTGTCGGACGTCGCGCGGCGCAGGCACGGCTCCGCCAGGCCCATGACCCTCGCCGACGCAGCGCTGCGGCCGCACACGTTGCAGAACACGCGCGGCCCCGCCACGTAGAGCACGTGCGTGTCGTGGATGGCCGCATTCCGGCATGGCCGCCGCCTGGCCGCCGCCTCCAGCAGCCGCGCCAGCGGCAGGCGCAGCAGCCTGCGCGGCGCCACGCCCGCGTCCGCGGCCGCGGCCGCGGCCCCCGCGGGCCCGAGCGAGGGCGGCGGCGGCGGGCGCAGAACCAGACTCGGCGGTCCCCGCGGCCGCACCAGCAGCGCGCCCACCGGCCCCTGGGGCGCCCCCGGCGGCAGCCCGCCCGGCGGCCTGGTCCCCGACGCCTGCCGCGTCGCTCCCACCCGCGCGGCGCGTGGCCGAGTCGGGCCTGGACTCGGCCAATTCCCGCGCGGGCGGCGGCGCCCGTCCTCGGGCTGGGGTGCCGGCGGCCGCGCCGTGCGCCACCCGCGGGGCCGCGCCTGCAGAACCAGCCGAAAGCGGGTCGGCCGCGGCGCTCTTCCAGCCTTGCGTCAGCCGCGGGGTCTCGCCAGCAGCGGGCGCCGCCCCGTCGCCGACGGAGGCGCCCTGGGATGCGCCGGGCGCTGGGCCCTTAGCGGCGGCCTCGTCGACCTCGTCGCCGCCGCCAGCCTGGCCAGCGGCCTGGGTCGCCAGCGCCGCCCCGACGGCCGCCACCGCGATGGCCGCCGCCGCCGCGCTGCCCGCCTGGCCGCCGCCGCCGCTGACAGCCGCCCGGCCGCCCTGGATCGCCACCCCGTCGTCGGCGCTTTCCCAGCAGCTCCAGCGCACGCCTCCAGCCATCTCCAAGGCCGTGCCGTGGAGGTCGCACGCTCGCCCCGCGCACCGCTGGCCCTGTACGCCGCAATCAGCTTTGGGCCTCTGGCGGCACCCAGGCCAAGCGCATCGGATGGCCTCCAGACCCGGAGCTGCGTAGCCGTCGGGCGCCCTGAGGAGCGAGTCGCCCTCCTGCATGGCCGTGCCAATCCACGAGGTCAGCTCTAGGGCCAGGTCGTCCGCCAGGTCAGAGCTGAGGAGTCTTGGGTTTCAACTGCTCCTACTGCTCCTCCTCCTCCTCCTCCTCCTCCTCCTCTTCCTCCTCTTCCTCCCCCTCTTCCTCCTCCTCTTCCTCCTCCTCCTCCTCCCTCTTCTTCTTCTTCTCCTCCTCCTCCTCCTCCTCCTCCTCCTCCTCCTCCTCCTCCTCCTCCCGCGCCGCCGGAGGTGCTGTTCGGCTCTGTGCTCTCGGTTTACGGGAGCACCGTCATGGGCCAGGAGATCTCCGTCAGGGAGCAGGCCCCGCGCCTGAGCCGCGGGCGATGTCGTCGTCGTCGTCGTCGTCGTCGTCGTCGTCGTCGACGTCGTCGTCGTCGTCGTCGTCGTCGTCGTCGTCGTCGTCGTCGTTGGGAAGGCGCGCCGGGAGAGGCGTCGCCCTTCTCATGCTCCTGTTCGCTCCTCCGCGTGCTCTGGCCCTCCGGTGGAGGGAAGGAGCGCGCGGATTGGGTAGCAAATCATGGGAGCCTTTTACGTCCTCGTGCAGTGAACTCCCAGTCTCAGATTTCATGGCCTTCTCGTCTTCTCACCATACTTCCCTGGCGCCCCTTTCGTCCGCGCAGCCATGGCTCGCTGACCTCCTCTGCGCCCCCTCTTGGAAGCCCCCTACTGGGGGATGGGGGAGGACCCTGTGACGTCGTGAAAAAGTGGTCGCGAATACAGTCAACCCGAATAGTCAGGTGAGCGACTCTCCAAGGTTACCCTTGCACTCTTCCCCTTCGGCCCATCCTTGACCGCTTTCGCTGGCCGCGCCCCGCCCGTAAATTGCCTTCCGAGGCCCTTGCATCCTTTTCTCGCGTCCCTATTATACGGGTTGATTTTACTTCCGTCTTGAGAGTGTATTAACGTGCGCTAGCGCTTGGTGATCGAGGGCCGACTCAGCGTCGATTTGGCGTTGATATGGCGTCGATTTTGCATCGACTAGCGTCGTTTAGTGTCGTCTAGCGTCGATGCGCAAGAGCCAGCAAGATGGCTCGGGAGGCTCCCATGAGTTGCCTCAGAACAAGGTGTCGTGGGATCTTGTCGACGCCGATCTTGGTCATTCGTCCATGCTGGCCGTCGCCGACTCGCGAGAAATCCACGAATCGACGGTGACCGACAAGATGGGACGGTCCCAGACATTCAGCTTCGGTGCGTGGGCCCCACATGTCTGGACCACTTCCTCAGGGCCAGTTTCTCGTCCTGAGTCGTTTTTGACGGTCCCGAAGCCTGGCGAGAGCGCCCAGAGGCGGAAAATGGCCAAAAAACGGCCGCTCCAATTTTTCGGAGCGTCGGATCTCTGGGGCGACCAAGGTCGGCACCGACGTTTCCGCGTTCAATCTTGGTCATGGTCACCGTTTTCTCTCCCTCCATCCGGGCTCTCTCGCATCGTCGGGGCCGATCGCAGTCCGAAAGACCGGCCAGGACAAACCCTGGGAGGGAGACGGTCTGGGGACAGTTTTTGGAGCAGGCGCTTCTTAGAAGCCTTCCTGCCTTCTGAGACGCCTTCTCAGAAGTTCCCGATCGCTGCTGAAGAGGCTTTTCCGCGCCACCCCTCTGTTATGTGCGCGCGCGGTCACAGAAGGGAGGCAGAGGGGTGGGAGGAAGAGGGGAAGGGGAAGGTGAGGGGAGGGCAAGTGGGGACCGGGGGTCCCCCCTGGTGACGGAGGTGGGGACCCACTCGGGTTCCCCGGGCTTTCTTTGGGAGGAAGGGGGGGGGGGAGGGGGGTTGGCGGAGCAGGAGGAGGGGTACCCGTCCCCAGAAAATCCAAACACATCAGGAATATCTATGTTTTGACAAGGTTCCCTTACGAATACCTCCGAAGATATTCGGAGTATCTGTGTTTTCACAGGGGTTCCTTAACGAAGATCTTCATATCAGGAGTATCTGTGCTTTCACAAGGTTTCCTTACCAACACCATCAAACGTATATGTAACATCTGTGTTCTCACATGTGGAGGAGGGGCTCCCGTCGCCAGAAAACCAAGAGATCTCAGGAATATCTGTCTTCTCATTTGTTTACTTGGCAGAACTTTTAAACATAATCTCTATATGTATAGTTATATACCTATACGACCGTCCTGCGGGAGATAAGGAGGTTTGGGGGGATTGAGATCAATCGCCCACCCTCTCTCTGTCTCTCTCTCTCTCGCCCTCTCTCTCTCTGTCTCCCTCTCTATCAGAGTCTGTTTCTCTCTATCAGAGTCTCTCCGCGCAGCGCGGGAGACGCCATGGCAGGCGGACGGAGGGACGCCATGGGGCGGCTTCCGAAGGGCAAGAGCGCCGAACGCTCGAGCCTCGCAGTCTGCCGCGATCGCGCCCACGCGCCGACAAAAATGAATTGATGGATTGGGTTGGGTGGACTGGATTGGATGGGAAGAGATGGATTGTATAAGATAGTATGGTTGGATTGGAAGAGATGGATTTGATAAGATCAGATGGATTGGACTGGCCCGCCGCAGGCGCAGAAACAAATGAATTGATGGATTGGGTTGGATGGATTGGATTGCGTGGAATAAGTGGGTGGGACAAGATGGGCTTGATAAGATAAGATGGATTGGATCTGCCAAGATGGATTGGATAACATAAGCTGGATTGGATAAGAAAGCCCGCCGCAGGCGCCGACAGCAATGAATTGATGGATTGGGTTGGGTGGATCGGATTGGATGGGATATGCTGCATTTGATAAGATGGGTTGGACTGGCAGAAGTGGATTCCATAATATACGATGGATTGGACTGGCCCGCCGCAGGCTTAGAAACAAATGAATATATGTATTGGGTTGGGTGGATGGGATAGGGTAGGAAACTATACGGATTGATTGGGTAAGATAATATGGATTGGATAGGACAGTAGGTATTTGATACTTTAAGCTGGATTGATAGGACAAGAAAACCCGCCCAAGGCGCCGAAGCATTTTTTTTGATCCGCGGGTCGAGAGCGCACCTTTTCCGGTCGAAGCTAAGCGTGCCGCGCGAAACTTGAATAAGGCAAAGAAGAGGAGAGAGGAAACGGTGGAACGTCAGAGCGAGGCCGAGAGGAGGCATAGCCTCGGATACAGGCGGTGCCGAAGCCGAAGTGCTTGCAAAAGGACGCCTTCGGCAGGAACCCGGTGGCGACGTTTCGGAGAAGAACAAAAAGCTACCGTAGGTGTTATTGTCGTCAACGTTTGTTTAACTCCAGCCTCGGGTCAGCGGCGGGAGATGACGCGCCTTTCAACCAAGCTGCATCAGGAATGAGGGAAAACGAGAGGGCGATACGAGACGGAGTGCAACGTTGTGCCGCCGTCCAAGTATCAGGAGGGACTTCGGGCCGTAGTGGTTCATGGTGCCACCGGTCCAGGAGACGAGTACTGCAGAGCCAAGAGGCGCGGCAGTCAGGACGTGCCGAACTTGCCGTTTACGACGACCGGCAGGGTGCCGGTGTGCGGGAGCAGGTACAGGGAAACAGGACCATAAGCGCCGAAACAAATGAATGATGAAATTAGCGACGTGCGTTAGCGCCGGGACGCCCGGGACACCTGGGACACCCGGGATGCCGCCCGCCTCCCGGCCACCGGCGGACGGAAAACGGACTTTCGCTCCTACTGACACCCCGGACACCCTGGTCACCGCCCGGCCAAATTGGGACACCTCCCAACCACCGGCGGACGGGGAACGGAGTTTCCCTCCTACTTCGGCCTAGCTATAGGAGGATCACGCGCAGCTTCGCCTCGCCCGCACGCGCGACGCGAACACGAAACCGAAACCGATTTCCCGGTGGGGGGTTTCCGTTTCACTGCGATCTCACCCCCCAACCTCCGATATACACATACCTACGACCACCCTTCGGGTGATGAGGAGGTTGTGGGGGGGGGGAGGGGGGGGAACCAACATCATATTAAATCGATTTCAGTATCGACCTCACTCAACGAGACACCACGGGACACCACGGGACACCACGGGATACCACGGGACACCACGGGACACTTGTCGATTTCACTACCGATCCCACTATCGATTATACTTAGCGGGACACCACGGGACACCGCGGGACACCACGGGACACCTTTCAATCTCACTATCGGTCTCACTATCGATATCACTATCTATCGATCTCATTCAAGGGGACACCATGGGACACCACGGGACCCTACGGGACACCACGGGGCACCATGGGACACCTCGGGACATCACATCGATTTCACTATCGATCTCAGTATCGATTGCACGATCGATCTCATTCAACGGGACACCACGGGACACCACGGTACACCTGTCGATTTTATTATCGATCTCACGATCGATCTCATTCAACGGGACACCACGGGACACCACGGGACACCTCGGGGCATCACATCGATATCAGTATCGATATCATTATCGATTGCACGATCGATCCCATTCAACGGGATACCACGGGACACCACGGGACACCGCGGGACACTTCTCGATCTCACTATCGAATTCACCATCGATCTCACTTTTTGGGACACCGCTGGACGCCACGGGATACCTCGGGGCACCACATCGATTTCAGTATCGATCATCGATCTCATCCAACGGGACACCACGGGACACCAGGGAACAACACGGGACACCGCGGGACACCGCGAGCCACCGCCGGACTGGTGGGCGGGGGAGAATCATTTGTCTTGAGTTCGCCCTAGCAGCGGCGGACACCACGGGACACCACGGGACACCACGGGACACCACGGGACACCGCAGGACACCGCGAGCCACCGCCGGACGGGCGGGCGGGGGAGAATCATTTGTTTTGAGTTCGCCCTAGCAACGGCGGACACCACGGGACACCACGGGACACCACGGGACACCGCGGGACACCGCGAGCTACCGCCGGACGGGCGGGCGGGGGATAATCATTTGTCTTGACTTCACCCTAGCAGCGGCGGACACCACGGCACACCACGGGACACCGCGGGACACCGCGAGCCACCGCCAGACGGACGGACGGACGGGCGGGTGGGGGAGAATCATTTGTCTCGAATTCTCCCTAGCAACGGCGGGTTCATTCCTCTCGCGCGCCCACGCAGCTTCCCGCACTCGCGACACGAGCGAAACGAAACGATTTCCGGTCTCCGTTCCACTGCGATCTCACCCCCCAACCTCCGATGTACGTATATCTTCGTGCACGGGTCCCGGGCGACCGGGGGCCCGGGGCCTGGGGGGTCATGGGAGGACCGGGGTCTCCCAGACCGCTCCCAGAGCACCCTGGAGCGGCCCTGGAGCTCCCAGACTGCCCCAGAGAGCTTCCAGAAGCCCTCGGGGACTTCGACAAGCCCTCCAGGACAGCCCAGATAGCCCCAAGATGGGTTCGATACCGCAAATACACAGCCCAACAGGCCTCCAAGAGGCCTCAAGAGACCTCCGAGAGGCCTCCCGAGAGAGCCCGCAGAGGCCCAAATCATTCATTTTATTGTCTTCTCTGATGTTTTTCGCAGTCTCGCATTTTCGACCTTCCGGCGCTCCACGACAGCCGACGACATCCCCAAGACCGCCCCAAAACCGCCTAAAAGGCTCCCAACAGATCCCCAAGACTGCCCCAGGGAGCCCGGTAATTGCCCGAGACGAGCCTCAGACGGCCCAAGAGAGCCCCAGGTCAGGCCCAAGCTGGGCCCCGGAGCAGGAGCGGGAGGCCCCAATGCGCTCCAAGACGGCCTTGATGGCCCCAGCGTGGCCCCAGATGGGCCCAACACAGCCAATACACAGCCCAAGGGCCCTCCAAGAGACCCCAGGAGACCTCCGAGAGGCGTCCTGAAAGAGCCCGAAGAGGCCCATATCCTTGATATTTCCAATCGTTTTTTCGAATGTTTTTCGCTTTCTCGCGTTCTCGAGCTGCCAACGCTCCATCACGGCCGAAGACGCCCCGAAGATCGCCCCGAGACCGCCGAAGAGACCCCAAAAGAGCTTCAGGACGGCCCATGATAGCCTGAAGACTGCCCAAGAGCAGCCCAAGACTGCCCAAGAGAGCCCCAGGACAGGCCCAAGCTGGGCCACGGAGCAGCAGCGGGAGGCTCAAGAGGCCAAGAGGCCTCCAAGTGGGCTCAAGAGAGCTCCGAGAGACGCCCCGAGAGAGCCCAAAGAGGTTCAAATCATTGATATGCACTGGTTTGTTCGATGTTTTCACTTTCTCGCGTTCTCGAGCTTCCAATGCTCGAAGACGGCAGAAGACGGCCCAGAGACCGCCCCAAGACCGCCGAAGAGGCACACAAAAGACCCCCAAGACGGCCCCAGGGAGCCCGCAAATTGCCCAGGAGGAGTCCCGTACGGCCCAAGAGAGCCCCAGGACAGGCCCAAGCTCGCCACCAGAGCGGGGGCGGGAGACCCCAAGGCGCTCCAAGACGGCTCAGATGCTCCCGACATTACCCCAGATGGGCCCACCACGCCAAACACACAGACCAAGAGGTCCCACGAGGCCCCAAGAAAGCTCGGAGAGGCGTCCTGAGAGAGCCTGGGCCTTGCATTCGAAAGACAAAGGAGCTGCCATCTCTTCCTCGGCGGCCGCACTGGGTCTGGGCCTGGACGGTGTGACACCCGTATCGGCGGGGGGGTTACCTCTGTCCTTTGGCGCAGCACGACCCTCGGTCTCAGCCTTGCCCTGCTGGTGGCGGCGATAGCCAGGCGCCCGTGGCCGTCTTGGGCGGCCCCCAGGTATTCACGTTCTCCGTACAGGCAACCCGCACACTCAGGATGGGCACCCTTCATAAAGATGTCCTTGCATCCTTGCTTCCTCGGGCCATCCTTGACCACTTTCGTTGACCGCGCCCCGCTCGAAAAGCTTGCACACCGGAGCTGGGCCACAGAGCGGGAGCGGGAGGCCCAAGCTGGGCCACAGAGCGGGAGCGGGAGGCCCCGGAGCGCTCCAAGACGGCCCAGATGGCCCGGGCCTCCCCCGTCCGTCCCTCCTTCCCTCCCGCCCCCTCCCCTTGCCTCCATTCCCTCCTCTCTCCCCTTCCTCCCCTCACCCCTCAGCTTTCGTGCTCCTCCCTCCTCTCCTGGGACGGCCGCGCCAGAGCGAGCGGGGCATCTCTACATCCTATCATTTCACGCGTTGCTTTCCCCCTTCCACCCCTCAAGGGCGGCCCCGGCAGAGCGAGAGCGCTCTGACTGCGCGTTTCTTTGCGTCGATGGCATGGGCCCGAGAACGCTGGAAATCATCGCTGTGACCACACCGGGGGTTACAGCGGCACCCGTGCCTCACCTGCTACTCGACCCTAAGCGCGCGTAGCGCGCGTGGCTCGACTACACATAAACATATGTATTTACATACATAGATTTATGTATGTGTGCTACCAAAAGGCTTCCTTCAGCAAACAGTCTTTGCGAGTCTTTTCGGAAATAATTCCTTTTGTAAGGCCGCCGCAATGTGGGGCGTTCATGTATTTATGTATATATACATATATGTATGTATGTATGTCTGTCTGTCTGTCTGTCTGTCTGTCTGTCTGTCTGTCTGTCTGTCTGTCTGTCTGTCTGTCTGTCTGTCTGTATGTATGTATGTATGTATGTATGTATGTATGTATGTATGTATGTATGTATGTATGTATGTATGTATGTATGTATGTATGTATGTATGTATCTATATTTATAGATGTGTATATATACGCGTGTGTGTGTGTGTGTGTGTGCGTGTTTGTATGTATGTATGCGTGCGTGTATGTATGTGTGTGTGTGTGTGCTTGCTTATGCATTATTCAGCCGCCAACAGGACAGTGCCCCATGGCCCAGAGGTGGCACACTTTTTCAAACTATCCTTAGCGACGCACACGCCAGTCGTTGAAAGTCGTTTTTTGTCGATTCCCGGGTCCCAGTCTACTTCAAGAGCCTTTCCCACTTCAGAAACCGATGTGCTTTTGCTGTGTTTTGTGGTATTCTCTGGGGCGGCCTCATCCCAGTCTGCCTCATATCCGCCTTCCTACTTCATGCTCCCACCCACTTCTTGCTTCTTTCGACCGATGTGTGTCTGGTCCACAAGGGCCCTGGAAGAGCTCCGAGAGGGCCCCCGTGGAGGCTTCCGAGCAGCCCGCTGTGGCCCTGCTGGCGATGCCACGGCACCCCCAGGGGACCTGCCGCTCCCTTCCCTCCAACGTGCCGCCTTCCTCCCGGTCGGCCCCTCGCCCCCTGCACGGGAGCCCCTTCGGAGGGCGCCAGCTGTACACCTACACCGGCCCTGGCGAGGCCGATCGTGGGCCTAGGGTCGGCGATTTCGGGGGCGGTCACGAGGGGGGTGGATATCACGGTGGGGGCCGTGATATCTCCCCAGATTTCGTGGTGCCTCCTCTCATTTCAGCACGTTTCGGGCCCCCCCCCTGGGCCGCGCACATGCCGCCGGCTATGATCTGCGCCGCCTCTCTTGATGCCCACCCTTCCCCTGGACGCCCCCGACGTATACGCCTCCTGTCCAAGCCAGGAAGGCGCACACACCGATCTTGTGCCCAGACCCGAGCTCGCGAACCCGCTTCGCAGCGCCTCTCCTGGGGGCCGCTGGCCCCGCAGGAAGCGCCCGCTCGGGCGCCTTCTCCGCGAGCCCGCAGCGGCCAGGTCCTGTTTGGCAGCTCCATCGAGGCTACCGGAGATGCCTACTTTCTAGGCGGCGCCCTCGGGCCACCGGCGGGCCGCGGGAGAGTATACTCGCGATGATGGTGAGGAGAAGGAGTAGGACGGTGATGACCATGAGGATGATGGGGATGAATGTGGTGACGGCGACAACGATGATGACGCTGACACTGATGCTGGTGATGACGATTCTGATGCTGCTGCTGCTGCTGCTGCTGATGCTGATTTTGATGATGAGGATGACGATTATGAGGATACTGACGATGATGACGATGATGACGATGATGACGACGAGGCTACTGACGATGATGATGACGACGACGATGAGATGATGATGACGATGATGCTGATGCTGATGCTGATGCTGATGCGGCTGCTGATGAGGATGATGATGCTGCTGCTGCTGATGATGATGGTGGTGATGATGATGCTGATGATGATGAGGATGATGATGAGGATGATGATGATGATGATGATGGTGGTGATGATATGCTAATGATGATGATGGTGGTGATGATGAGGATGAGGATGAGGATGAGGATGAGGATGAGGATGAGGATGAGGATGAGGATGAGGATGATGATGATGATGATGATGATGATGATGATGATGATGATGATGATGATGATGATGATGATGATGATGATGATGATGATGATGATGATGATGATGATGATGATGATGATGATGATGATGATGATGATGATGATGATGATGATGATGATGATGATGATGATGATGATGATGATGATGATGATGATGATGATGATGATGATGATGATGATGATGATGATGATGATGATGATGATGATGATGATGATGATGATGATGATGATGATGATGATGATGATGATGATGATGATGATGATGATGATGATGATGATGATGATGATGATGATGATGATGATGATGATGATGATGATGATGATGATGATGATGATGATGATGATGATGATGATGATGATGATGATGATGATGATGATGATGATGATGATGATGATGATGATGATGATGATGATGATGATGATGATGATGATGATGATGATGATGATGATGATGATGATGATGATGATGATGATGATGATGATGATGATGATGATGATGATGATGATGATGATGATGATGATGATGATGATGATGATGATGATGATGAGGATGATGAGGATGATGAGGATGATGTGATGATGAGTTCTTGCACAGTAATCACACAGCAGGAGAAGGCCGCGCGGTGCTTGCCTCGCCACCGCTTCGGCCCAAGCCTTTTTCGGAGGAGGTCCCGTGCTGCCAGGCCCGCCCGCGACCTGGATGCGCCAGGCGGCCCGCGGCGCGGTGCTCCTGGCGTTCCACGTGGGCTCGGCGTGGCTCGGGCAGTGGTGGGCCAGCCGCGGTCCCGCCAGCCCTTCCGCCGCGCGGCCCGCCGCCGCCGCGCCGCCGGCCTTGGCGCAGGCGCCCGCTCCGCCAGCGCGGAGCTGCCCGGTGGCCGCGCCGCCGACCCCCGCGCTGGCTGGCCAGCTGTGCGCCGAGCTGGAGAGGTGCCTGCCCTGGGGGGTCGCGGCACCGCTGGTGGAGTGCCCAGACACTTGCCCAGCGTGCCCCGAGCCGGCCAAGGCGGAGTTCTCCTGGGGCTTCCCCTGGGTCTAGGGACCCTCTTGGTGTGGGAGCTCGACACCAGGCTGTGGGCCGTTTTGCGCGGCCAGGCGGGCCGCTGCTACGGCCGGAAGAGCGAGGGCCGCCGAGGGCGTCCTCGCGGTGGAGGCCCCGCTCGAGCCCACCCCGCCTGGCGGCACCCCTGATCGCAGGGTGCCCGGAGGTCGTGGCAGGCTCGTCGGTGACTGGACGTCGCCTGCGATCAAGGCATGAACGTTGGCGATGAGTTGTACGCCGAGTATGACTTGCCAGGGGCCCATCTCTTGCATGCCCGTGTCGTGGTTGGTGTCTCGGGGATCGAGGGGCTCCACGCAGCGTTGGTCTTGCCAGACCACGACCTCTTCATTGAGTGGTTCAGCGAGGGCAACGATGGCATTCGGCACTGGTACCGCGTTGGGCCTGGGCGTGTGCTCATCCGCGAGGACGGGGACATCGCGCCAGCTGCCGGCGGATCAGGGCGCGGGGTGTACGACTTCGCCACGCCGCTCACGCTTGCGGAGCTACAGGCCTTCTCGCAGCAGGCTGGGGTGCTCCTTGCTGGCCATGATGCTGCTCTCGCTGTCGCTGCGGCGCATCCTGCAGCTGGTGGTGGTGGAGCGCTGGTTGCCGCAGGAGGCGCTGGGGCGGCAGGGGCGTGGGTGGCGGCGGCGGCGGGCTCGCCGTGGCAGGAGGTCCAGCGGGTGGCCTCGCCGCGCTGCTCGGAGGAGGCGGAGGTGCAGCAGCCGGCGCTGGGCAGTAGGAGGAGGTGGAGTCGGAGCTCGTGGCGCAGGAGCTGCCCCGCCGCCCTGGGCGCGCCCGCGGGCGCCGCGCCGGCCGCGGCCCCAGCCGGAGGCCGGCTGGTTGCCGCGCCCGCGGCCGCAGCGGGAGGCGCCGCCGCAGCTGGCGTTGCCGCCGCGCCCGCAGCCGCCACCGCGGACTGCGCCGCTGGGTTAGCTGCGGCGCTGGCAAGTGCAGGTGCTGGGCCAATGGCCGTCGCCGCCGGCGGCGCAGGTAATGGCGCCGCTAGCTCGGGTGACTGCCGCGCACTCTCGGTGCAGTGCAACGTCGACGGGAAGCGGCGTCGTGCCTTTGCTTCTGGGGTCGCTCTGCTTCGGGCCGTCGACTGGAGCGACTGGGTGGTGCCAGGGCCGAGGACAGCTCACTGGGTGGCGAACTTCATGCTGGGGAATGGAGGGGGCGCGCTCGAGCACCATGTCCAGTGGGGGTCGGTCATTCGCCTGGGCCTGGATGACATCATCGTTTCGGCGCATCTCGAGTACTCGAAGATCTTCGACGCGGCGTTGTGCTGCGACCAGCTGGACCTTACGAGTCTGGTCAGTCTGGAGTTGGTCTCGAGACACCTACAACTCTGTGAAGAAAGGCACAGAGATCGCGTCCTTGGGACGCGCGAGGACAGCAACGAGCACCAGGGCGAGGAGCACTACTTCACGGGGATGGCGGCGACGAGAGGGCCCATGGTGGCCCCGGCGCTTGGATCAGCGAGCAGATCGCGAGAGAGAACGCTTTCGCCGAGGAGAGACGCAAATCGCGTGAGGAGAGACAGCTCGCCACGCCCAAGGGGCCCAAGCGGGCCGACAGGGACGGGGGGCAGCTGATCTCCACGACTACTTCATCGATCAAGGCTGCCTGCTGCTCTGTGGCCCAGGGCGCGCAGGCTTTCGCATCTTCGGTTGCGAGGTGATGGTGCGCCAGCGGGACATCTTCCCTATGCCTCTTCTCCCCGTCCCTGCTCGGGCTGGTGCTGGCTGCCGTGCTGTTGCCCGTCGTGCTCGCCGCCGTCGCCGTGCTCTTGACTGGGCCAACGACGGCGCCCAATCCATCAACTCACTTGCTGGGCGAGACCTGGCTGGTGATGGTGCCGTGGGCGCTGTGCAGCAGATGTGCCTTGAGCACCTGGAGCGCAGCTGTTTCTCGGTCGGTGCCTGTGCTGCTGATGTTCGTCGCCGCGGGAGCCTTCGTGAGCGCCGCGGAAGCGCCGCCGTGTGCGGTGGGTGCGCTACAACCGTCGTGCCCTGCAACGAGGGCGCCGTGTCCTGGCCGGCCGCGGGAGCGAAGCCCGTCCCCTTGGGCGATGCGCTGCCAGCCGAGCGCCCTGCCTGGTTGAGGGATCTGACGGCCGATGTGCGAAGACGCCCAGCTGCAGCGGCTGGCCGGCTGTCTGAGCTCGGCCTTCTACGTCCTATCTTGGCCCTGCACTTCGGGATCACAGAGTATACGGATATTTTGTGACTGGATTGGCGCGTCGTGGCATGGCTCGCCTGGTGCCCGCCGAGGAGCTTGGCGACGGCAGTGCGACGGTGGGTCCGTTCTTTTTCAAGGAAACCAGATGCAGAGGATCACCTGGCGCCAGGTCGGCAAACTGCGACTTCAAGCCGCCGCCGTCGACGCACTTGCCATCGGCCGCCGCCTTCGCGAAGCTGGAGACGCAGGAGTGCGACGTCGTCTGGTTCAGCAGTGGTGACATCAGCAACGCCTTCCACGCCATCGAGGTGCCTGAAGAGTTGGGGTCCTGGTTCAGGCTGCCAGCGCTGCGTGGCCGCGCGGCGGGCTTGCGGGGTCGCAGCGCCTCGACGCTCTTGGTGCGGGTGCTGGCGGTGTTGCCGATGGGCTGGAGCTGGGCGCTGCGCCTCTGCCAGCTGGTGACGAAGGAGGGCCTTGCGTGGGGCGGCCGGCCTGCCGAGGTCTTCGTGAAGGATCGAGAGGGCCCCCGCCCGCTGGGCCCGGGGCGTCCGCTGCGCGCGGCGGCGGACATCGACAACTTCATGGTCATGGGCTTGGCGAAGCAGGGCGTCTGCGCAGCGGGGCAGACCGTCGCGGAGGCGCTCTCCGGCGAGGGCTTCACGATCCACGAGGAGATCGACGGGGCGGTGTGCCAGACGGTCTTCGTGGGCCTCTCGCATGACGGGCGCAGCCACGCGGCGCGGGTGTCCACGAAGCGCGCGTGGGGGCTGCGGCTGGCTATCGAGGAGCTCCTGGGCCGTCGCACTTGCTCAGGTCACGTGTCCGAGATCGTGGTGGGCCATGCGACCTGGATCATGATGGTTCAGTGCTCGTCCCTGTCGGTTTTCAGCTCCGTGTGCGCCTGCGTCAAGTCCATGGGCATCCAGGAGGGCGGGCTGTGGCCGGCCGTGAAGGAGGAGCTTGGGCACGTCAGGAACCTGCTGCCGCTGATGGTGGCTCGCGCGAACGCCGGCTGGTACAGCAAGGTCGCGGTCAGCGATGCCTCGCACTGGGGCTGCGGAGTCTGCGAGCGCCAGGTGCCCGTGGAGGGGGCCGCGCGCTGGGGGCGGACGGCTGAGCGCTGGCGGCGCCGCCGAGGCGCCACGGCCGCGCGCGCTCGCGCCTTGGGGGGCGAGGGGGCCTCTGCGAAGCTGGAGCAGCTGCTGG